AGATGTATTGTTTTTCCCAACAGCAAGACCAGATTCCGATGGATCCAGGAGAGCAGCTCACAGAAAAACGTGCCTCCGTTTGGTTTAGACGGAGTGTACATATCTGAGCCTTGCCCCAGTTACTGCAGTGGCCGTGGGGACTGCATTTCAGGAGTGTGTTTCTGTGACCTGGGGTACACCGGTAAGCTGAATATTAATACATGTGTCTCATGGTTTATTTGTAAAATATTCATCTCTAGTACTGTAATTCATGTTATTCTTCCAAAGAAATAGATTCTGAGTTTATTCTTCTCTAAGTCTAAGAATTGTAGGAATTTGTAACCTAGGCACATGAGGTGCTAAGATATTTTGTAGTTTTGAGCTACCTAAGGAAGAAACCATAATAATACAAATTTTACTTCCTAAACAGGATTCATTTATTATTAATAGCAACGGTAATTAACATTGCTTGAGGCCCTACTTCATGCCAGGTCCTAAAGTAAGGCTTTTTATTTCATCTCATTTAATTCTAACAATAACCCTGTGGCACAGTACTGTAAACCCTGTTTATAGTTGAGGAAACTGAGGCACATAGAGGTTTAGTAATTTTCCCAAGATCACACAGCTGGGAGTTGCTGGAGTTGGGTGTCAGACCCTGGCAATCATTCTCCAGAACCAAAACCCAAGCTCTTAACCACTTGCCTGCCGGGTCTCCCTGAACTCTTTACATTGCTTTTTATAAGAAATGTAATTTTATACATTTAAAGTAAAAATGCAACTTATGAAATGATAAATCCAAAACTGCCAAAAGAGAGTGTTGCTATGAGCAAAAATGAAAAGGGAGCTGAGATTAAAGAGTAAAATTGGCGCAAATATTATAAGCTTCAAAAGTTTTTTTGGATTTTTTCCTGGAGACAACTTCAAAAGGCTTCTTCACAGCTTTTCAGCACTCTGGCCTTCATTTGGCGCGTGACCAAAGACAAACATATGCTGTTGCAGGCCTTCTGTGGAGAGTGCTGTCACTCACAGTTTCAAGGGTGTTTTTTTTTTTTTAAATCTGGGACTGATGCCGTTTATTGATCCTATAACAGAGGGACAACAAATGAGCAAATTTTCTTGTGTATAATCTATTTCTCAGTTTACACAAATCCTCAGTAGCAAGAACTATGGAAGTGTGTGGGTCCCAATGTCTCTTTATTCAAATATAAAAAACTACAGAGGCAGAGTAGTGTTTTTGACTATGGTAATGATGGCTGTCTCTCAGGCAGACAATTGTGTGATACACATTTTCATGTGACTTCCTTCCCGTGATTCCTGTGGAAATTCTTCCTTTGCCCATTGTGTTGAATATACTTTCTAATGTTTAGTGATTCCAATGAAGCATCTCTCCTATGTATTTCTTTTTTCTGAAGCTGCACAAGGAACCTGTGTGTCAAATGTCCCTAATCACAGTGAGATGTTTGATAGGTTTGAGGGGAAGCTCAGCCCTCTGTGGTACAAGATAACTGGCGGCCAGGTTGGAACTGGCTGTGGGACACTTAACGATGGCAAATCTCTCTACTTCAATGGTCCTGGGAAAAGGGAAGCAAGGACTGTCCCTCTAGACACCAGGAGTATCAGGTAAGTATTTAATTAGTACCCTTCTCTGCGAGCATAGTATTTATCACACTAGGTGGTCTAGCCTAAAACATTCTCTTCTGTTATAGAGAGTTTATATAATAATGTTTCTATACAAGGGCTGTCTGGAAAGTATCCAGCCATTGTGAATATAACGAGAATGGTTACATGGCTGGATATCTTCTGGTCAGCCCTCATATAGATCCTGATAAGTAAAAATGAAGATGACTCTAGCTCTGTAATAAAATAAGTAGTTTCTACAAAAATCATACCAAAATTGATTAATCTGTGTACAGTCATCACCAAGGCCTCTATGTCTAGTGTGTGTCAACTTGGTTTTCTAAAGTTTTATGTTACAAAAACTATTTAGTACTATTTTTAAAGTATGCTACGTGAATCAAAGATTTTTCTAACCTTAAATTCTGTGTCCAAAAATGTAGCATCCTTATTTACCTAATTTTGTGTTCACTTATTGAAACTGCCCCAGAAATGTAAAATACCTACACTGACACCTACTGGTAAAATATAAAACAGTTTGGTTTTTAAGGTCAAATGAAATAGTAGCACACCTAAAATGAAACTGTGCTTTTTTTGAAATCAATTAAATTATTTGAGAATTGGAAGAAAGGAAACATAAAAAAAGTTTGAAAATTTTAGACCTTCTCCTCACTGAGATTTTGGGTTCTGTCTCATATTTTTTCTGCTTTCAGTCTCTTTCCCTTTGCTCTTGCATTGTTCTCTCAGAGATGTGCCTGTCAAGGAAGCATTCTCTGGCAGTTACTGGGGACGGGGGCATAATTTAGATCACACTGACTATCAGTTGAGACAAAGTTAGCCAACTGGGTCTCAATCAGTAATAGACAGGTAATTGTCTGGCCTTAAACAAATATGGGATTCAACTTCTTAATGTTAGACTTTTCCTCATCTTACGTTTCCAAGGATGGTATTATCTGGATTTAAGGAATTTCCATTTTAGTAATTCCATTAAATTACATCAGACTGTCACGATGACTTAGGGTTAAACTGTTTCCTTTTGTTTCATTATTAGAGCATTATTACAGAATAAAATAAATGGTCCTATTAGTCAACTTTGTCTAAATGGTTACAGAATTAATTTATTATAATCTATATAGTTTCTGCTTATCAAATGCTGTCTGAGCTTAAAAGTAGTACTTAATAATTATGGAGGATTTTTTCTAATGCACCAAAACACAAAGGGTTAATGCTCTTTTGAACTCATCTATTTGTAAGTAAACTGAAGTTTTTTTCCCCAGACTTGTTCAATTTTATATACAAATTGGAAGCAAAACTTCAGGTATTACCTGCATCAAACCAAGAGCTAGAAATGAAGGTAAGCTGCTATATTTCCATAGAAATTATAGTTACTACTGGCAAATTAGTCTTTTTTCCTCCCAAAGTTTGGCCAGGATTTCACAAACTGATACATTACCCTGAATCACTCTTCTCTTCTCCTTCATAGAATGGGTGGCTGTGTGGAGCCACATTCCCTGAGAGTTCTATACAGATCCTTAAGCCTGAAAAATCGTGTCTTTTCTCCGGGCGTAGGCAGGATCACAGGGGCATTTGTTTTAGGGAACCTATTTCTTTATTCTTTCCCCAGGGAGGGGAAAAAACCCAATAGCAGAGACTTTTACATCAGCATGAGGCCTAGAAACTTGTTTGCATGGGGCATTACCGAATGCAGATCAAACTCTACTCCTGCTCATAAACATTCTGGGTGGACAAGAATCCTTGTATAGGCGGAGCAGTTCTTGGTAATATTAATAATAAACATTAACTTTTCGTGAGACATATTATATGCAAGACACTATTCCAGGTGTTTTACCAGTGTTAATTCATTTTATCTTCATCATACCCCTTTGCTGTAAGTGTTAGTCCTATTTTACAGTTATAGAAACTGAGCACAGAGAGGTCAAGTAACTTGCCCACAATCATGCAGTTAGTAAGTGATGAGCAGGGCTTAAACCAAACCACTCATGCTGGCAGCAGAATTTATGCCTTAGCCATCAGACTGTACTGCCTCTCTCCTTGCCCTGAGCTCCACCCTCCCTAGGCACCCATACTATCTTCTCCCTCACATGATTCAGTTCTGAAGGAAATGCAAAAGGCTTGAAGCATAGGTGGGCTCCAGGAGCGCTACAGATATGATGGGATTCACTAAGGAACCCAGAATGTGAGTTAGGTCCCAGCACAAAATCCACGGGCTTCTCAGGTGGGTCCTCCAAACCTTGGTCTCAGGAGCACCATGTGAAGAATTTTGCACCTTATATGTTTGTTATTATCTCATATATGACTGTGTAAAGCATACTGGCTTAAACAGTGCCTTCTAGTCATTAGAGCTATGGAGGGCTCTGTTCATCAGTTCTACATTTCCTTGGCCATATCATCACTAACTGCAGACTTTAATTGTTTTTTCTGAGTATCTCAGTACTTTTAGGCTGATTATCCAAATCATCCATTAACTGGAGCAGCAGTCTAGAAGCTTTTATAGACCGCTTTGCATTCCCTAACCTCTTCAACAAATATTTACTAAGAATCTGTTCTAAGGCAGACACTGTTCTAGGTGCTGCAGATACAATGTCAACAAAAAACAGATGTGTCAGTCATGATGAGCTAGGTTATGCTGCAATAACGAAAAACCCCCTATCAGTGGGCTAAAACAAAAAGGATTTCTCTCTTGTGCTACATTTTCTTCATGGGTCACCCGAGGTCCTCATCCCAGCACCCAGAATCATGAAGCAGCTTCCAGGTAGATTCTGGATGTCGCCAGCCACGTGGCAGAGGGAAAAAGGAAGCGTGGTGAAGGGATAAGAAGGACAAACATACCATGTGCTGGAGGGGGAGGAGCCAGTGTGACACTAATGAACACCTTCAGGGGAGATCCCTGCCCTTAAGGGAACTTACATTCTAGTGAGAAGAGTCACATAATAAACAAGTAAGAAAAGAAATAAGCCAGAAAATGTTAGGCTGTAAGGGCTAGACAGAAACAAATACGCTGATGAGATGGAAAGTAAACTTACGCAGGGAGAGGTGCTGATTTAGATAGAATAGTCTGGGTGGGGGCTCTCCGAGGAAGTGACATTTAATAAATTGAAATCTGAAGGAAATTTGTGTGCATAACTCTTTTGAAAATGACAAATCCATATCGCCCTATTTGTGTATGACCTAAAAAAAAAAAAAGAAAAGAAAATCCCTGAGCATGGTATAGTAGGAAGCATCTGCTTATCACAGATACGAGTCTCTGCTCTATATTTAACTTCCGACTGCAAGGGCTGCTGTCTGCGCTGTGAGGCAAATGCCCCTTAGGATCCCTTTAGGAACAAGAAACTTTTTCTCAACTAGTCTTGAGCCACTTTTATAAACTCAATGCTAGCCGTGTAATTCACATCCCACAGGCATTTCTCAGCCTTTTATTGAAAACTGGTTGTTAAAATGTAAATCTGCTTAAATCCTTGAACAAATCTCTTCCAGTGATGAAAGTAAAGATTTTTTACTTACTCAAGCTGAAGCATGAATTTGCATATTTGGAATTAAAATCAAAATTAGGCTATTTGCAATAAGACTGGACAGAACATAGATGGAATTGCAGTTTAAAAAAAGAAATGTTTTATTTTAATACATGCCTTAAACCCTCAGTAGATGAGCTAAAGGGCTTGGTTTATTCAGATGTGCAATGTTAGATGACCCCAATGTTATGTCAGAGGCTCAGCAACTGACATAAGATATGTATATTGCAGTCTTCCTTTTTCCTCTCTTGCATTCCTCCACTCTCTCATACTTATCTGGGATTGTTCTTTGGAATCGGAGCCCTCATCACTGCAGACCTCATTACTGCCTGCAGGTGTACGTGACACTCCTAAAAAAGCTAATGAGGAGAAGGGCAAGAAGCAGAAACCAAGTGAAGTACGCACCTCCTGGGCTGTGCTTCTTATATTTTAATGTGCACCTGAATCATTTGGGAGGCTTGTTAAAATGCACATTTAGATAAGTAGGACTGGAGAGGTATGTTACATAACAGATTATCCCAAAACTGAGTGGCTTAAACTGCAAATATTTGTTACCTCACAGTTTCTGTGAATCAGGAATTTGGGAACAGCTTAGCTGAATGCTTCCAGCTTAGGATCTCTCATGAAGCTGTAGTCAAGACAAAGGCCAGGAGACACACGGTCATCAGAGGACTTAACCAGGGCTGGACGATGTGTTTCCAAGATGGCTCACTTACATGGCTCTTGGCAAAAGGCTTCAGTTTTTCTAGGCTGTTGGAAAGGGGCTTCAGCTTCTAACTCCAGAGGCTGCTTGAATATCCTTACTAACATGTAGGGTGGCTTTCCCCAGAGCAAGAGATCTGAGAGACAGCAAGGAATAAACTGCAATGCCTTTTATGACCTAGTCTCAGAAGTCACACACCATCCCTTCTATTATATTTAAATTCTATTCAGTAGAAGCAAGTTACTAAAACCATCCACACTCAATGGGAAGAGAATTAAGCTCCTCTTTTTGAAGGGAGGAGTGTCAAAGAATTTGTGGACATATTTTTAAAAACCTGTTCCAAGGTGATACAGATGCTGGTCTTCGACCACACTTTGGGTGGAAGGCACGAGAAAGGACCAGTGCTGAAATTTTATTAATACTCTCATGGTGCTTCATTTCTGGTCCTATAACCTACCTTCTGAATAGATCACCCCCAAATAACTATTTACATAATTTCTCTCTACCTCTTTCTCATCTTATGAAGTGTAAACCATATTAACACAAACGAATGGCCACAAGAAAAACTAAATTTTGAAGTGTCTGCACCCCTGACCATCCAACATCACACTAAAAGCCAATGGGACATATCTTGAGCAAACATCAGGGGTTAGAGACCTGAGCTTTTTCCAGACATTCCTCAACTTGACTAAAATAAAGACTAGAAACAGCCTCACTTCAACTTTCCTCATGAACTTTGGTCTGTGACTCTGTTCCTTTCCCAACACATGGGTCTCAGCTCAGTCAGCTGAAGCTCTGCCCCCCCATCCCTACACCTGTGTACAGCCTGCTGTCTCCCCAGAGAGTTCCGTCTTTGAACTATTTTTATCCTCTCAATTAGTTCGACGAGTTCCTCAATTTTAAATATGGTAGGCTTAATTTTCCCTGAGATTTCTAATTTTTAGCATATTTGTCATTTTTGTTCCTGGCATCATTCCTTGTCAGATGTGGTGACAGTAATTCCATGTGCTATTAATTAGCCTTGAACAGCTTTCTTTTAGCTCTACATTTTATTGTAATATTTCTTGAAACTTTATTTTAGAAAACTCTTTGTTATCCAACATGATAAAGGGATTGAGACATTCCAGTCAGCCAATAATAGGAAAATTAATAAAATAACAAATAAATATAACTTTGCCAAGCATAATTTCTGTGAATACTCAAAAAGTAACTCAGCGTCCCCATTCACAATTATGAATATGCAGTGCCAGTCTCAGGAATAATTATGGCATAGGCAATTAGGTGCCATCTATCACTCTGCCCCCTGCCATCAGAACAAATAAATATATATTTATAAATAGCATTAATAAAATTATACATGTGCGACTGTGTATATAACTATTCCTAAGACTGGCACAGACTTATTCCTAAGATGGACACTGATTTATACCTAGTTATATCTATATAAATTGATTCCCACAATTTCATCCTTAGCAGTTTGTTCCTTTGCACTCAGCAAGAGCCTTTCCCTGTGTCCTCGGTAACACACCAGGTCCCCACCGTGTAGTGTGCAGTTCCCTGGATCCTACCACCCTGGTGGCAAGTGGAGGGGTGTGGGTGGACAGGGCAAGTAAAGGGGGAAAGGGTGATACAGACAAAGGAAAATTGAACTAACACTGGAGAGGAGTGAGTTTTTCTGTTTGCTATTTAATAATTGGGCTTCCTTCAGGCTTCACTGACCAGGCTCTGACAAAGTGTGAAGTGCCAGTAAAAGGATCTTTCTGCTTAATAGAATTTCAGACTGTGGGCAGTGCTTACTGCCTTGTGCTTCAGCAGCAGAGAGAGCCACTTGGTTTTGTGCCAGGGAGATTGAGATATTTCTTCTGAGTATATAATAATGATATGAGACTTTGTAACGTTCAGGAAAGAATCTAAAATTCAAATACATGATCTGGAGTGGGTTTTTATGTTCCCCTTACCAACCTACTCATCACTCAAAGCTGAGTGGTCTTTAAAAGAGCTTATGTATTTTCTTTCTCCATTTCCTGGGAGTCAGTGCATTAGAAACTGTCAAGAAATTGATGAGCCTTCGGGTCTACTAACTCATTCCTTGGAAGTTAGATGAATGTGCTCTCATTCTATGAGACACAATTTGAGGTTGCTGTAGTTTCACCATGTAAGAAATACTGTTCCTTGCCTCTAGGAAACTGTCCAAGTGACTGGATTTATGTCTTTTAACTCAGGGCTTGTTGTTCAGTATTCAAATGACAATGGAATACTGTGGCATTTGCTTCGAGAGTTGGACTTCATGTCATTCCTGGAACCACAGATCATTTCCATTGACCTGCCACGGGAGGCAAAGACACCTGCAACAGCATTTCGATGGTGGCAACCGCAACACGGTGAGTTACTGCTCACTCCAACATCCTGGTAGCTTTGAGATCATGCAGTATCCATATCCACCTTGTATTGTGTGTTTCTTAATTTACTGTCAATTTCTACACAATTTGATTTAAAATCACAGTCATAAAGCTACTCATATTGCTGTGTAATGAACCTTCTCTAACTGCCTTTATTCGTCTGATTGCAGGGAAGCATTCAGCCCAGTGGGCTTTGGATGATGTTCTTATAGGAATGAATGACAGCTCTCAAACTGGGTTTCAAGACAAATTTGATGGCTCTATAGATTTGCAAGCCAACTGGTATCGAATCCAAGGAGGTCAAGTCGATATTGACTGTCTCTCTATGGACACTGCTCTGATATTCACTGAAAACATAGGTATATATTATCACCAGATAAAGGGAGAATATTTGATTAAGTAAAGGACTAAATTAACTAAAACTCAAGAGGAAATTTTCAAATGCAAAAATATGTGCCTAACTACCTGTGCTGAGGGAGGCTCTCAGGAAAAAGCAATTGTAGTGTCCTAGTGTAACTTGGTGAGCCCAGTGACTTGGTTTTTGTTGGAACTGTCTTTCACATATGGATGATAAGGGTAAGGTTTCTTAAAAGCAGAGCAAAAGTATATATATATATTTTATAATTTGCAGAATTACAGACTTGACTCTGTTAAAGAAAAGATAAATGTTTGAAGTGGTAATTACCCTGATTTGATCATTACACATGTATACATGTGTCAAAATATCACATGTACCGCAAAAATGTGTATAACGGTGCTTTATCTGTTTTAAAAAGACTCTGTATTAGCCGTTTTCAAGGTGGTAATGCTTTTCAAGTTAGCAGGCTTCCATATTTCTGAGTTCTATGGGTAACCAAATAAAAACAGGAAATATGAGAAGAAAAGTCAAAGCACACATGAGGAGCTAAAGATAAGCCAAGATTCTTGTTTGTTATCACAAGTGTTGATTATAAGCGTAAACTCCAAGGAAGGAAAGAGCACAATTATATGCTACCGTTGCACTTTTTTTTGTAGGAAAACCTCGTTATGCTGAGACTTGGGATTTTCATGTGTCAGCATCTACCTTCTTGCAGTTTGAAATGAGCATGGGCTGTAGCAAGCCCTTCAGCAACTCCCACAGTGTACAGCTCCAGTATTCTCTGAACAATGGCAGAGACTGGCATCTTGTCACTGAAGAGTGTGTTCCTCCAACCATTGGCTGTCTGCACTACACAGAAAGTTCAATTTACACCTCGGAAAGATTCCAGAATTGGAAGCGGATCACTGTCTACCTTCCACTCTCCACCATGTGAGAATTGTCATTTGGCTACATGTCAGAACTTTGGGTTTCTGTCGCCTAATTTGAAAATAATTGTGATTCCACTTGGGGATTCTATTATTCTTTCATGATAATTATGCAAGGAATGTGCCAGGGAGAATTAAAAAAAAGGTGCAAGATGCTCTGAGTTGCAATTTTTAAATATGGCTAGAGAGTTCCAAAAGTTTTATAAGGCCGAACTTTAATGTTCTTTAGCAACATGAAGGCTGCCCACCAGATTCAGTTTTTAAACCGTTGTAAAAATAAATCTCTACCCATAAAGCAGACTAATACCTCTTCATGTTAAGCAATATATGAAATGACCAAATATAGGAAGCACCCTTAGTGTTTTCGTCTCACTACTACAGTGCGAATGAAAGGTGGTTCCTTTGGCGTGTTCATATCCTTTTGCACCTCTCTTCCCCTCCCCAGCATTTCAGGTCATAGTCAGGAGTTGCATTGTCTTACACTAGGCTGCCGCTGTTGTGGTGCAGGCATCTGGACGATTTGAGGGTCTTTCTAGGAACTAATGTGTGCTTTGGTGACTGGTTAAAGATGGTGCCAGCCTGGGACCGCTCCCCCCAGATCTTTGCCTCTCCCCTCCTTGCTCTGTTCTAAATGGCAGGAAATGCAGGGGAAATTGGCCTCTATGAGTTACATTTCCCAGCCTCCTATATCTGCTGGCTTCCTCAGAGGTTTACACAGTGGCGGACACTGGCAAGAGATTGGAGGGAGGAAATAAAGGATAAATCAGGGTATTCCTCTCCCTCCTTTTCTGCTTCAAGTGCACCTTGGCGGAGTTTTGTGGCTCCAGCTCCCCCAGAGAGCCTTCCATGTGGCCCTGGTCCCCAGGCTCCAGCAACAGTGTCTCCTCCCTGGGGAGGCACTTGGACTTGTAGTGAGTGGCTCCCTGACTGTGAAACTCAGGTTTCCCCACTGACTGTTGGTTTCTGAGCTCTGCCACTATGTACCCAATTCCTTGCATTAAATCCTTTCTATGTTAAATATTTATAGTAGTTTCTGTTTTCTTGGTTCAATTCTGATTCAGAGATGCACACTAAATGGCAGGGAAAAATGCAGAAAACCAAAACATTTTAGTATTTAGCCTAAAATAGTTACCTATGACCGCCAGAGCTTTAAATAGTGCTTGCTTGTAGCCCATTTGTTCCTTTTATTATTCAACAAACATTTATTGAGTATCTATAGTGTTTTAAGCACTCTGATACTAAATGAATAAGCTGATGCCAGGATCCAAATATATTAAAATCATGCATCACTTAATGACAGTGATACATTCAGAGAAATGTGTCATTAGACAATGTTGTTGTTATGCAAACATCACAGAGTGTACTTTCACAAACCTAGATGGTGTAGCCTACTGCACACCTGGGCTATATGGTAGAGCCTGTTGCTCCTGGGCTACAAACCTGTGCAGTGTGTCACTCTAGTGAATACTGTAGGCAATTGTAACACAATGGCAAGTATTTGTGTGTCTACATATATCTAAACATAGAAAAGGTACAGTAAAAATACAGTATAAAAGATTGAAAATGATACGCCTGTATAGGGCGCTTGCCATGAATGGAGCTTGCAGGACTGGAAGTTGCTCTAAGTGAGTCAGTGAGTGAGTGTGAAGGCCTAGGACATCACTGTACACTACCGTAGACTTTATCAACACTGTACACTTAGGCTATACTAAATTTATAAAATAAAAAAAACCTCTCTTCAATAATGAATTGCCCTTAGATTACTTTAGCTTTTTTACTTTATAAACTTTTTAATTTTTTTAACTTTTTGACTCTTGTGATAACACAGCTTAAAACACAAACACATTATGTAGCTGTACAAAAATTTTTTTTCTTTATATCCTTATTTGCTTTTTTAAATTTTTATAAAGCTTTTTTTATTTTTAAAGCTTTTAAATTTTTTTTACCTTTTAAACTCCCTTATTAAAAACTAAAGTGCCAAAACACACATTAGCCTTGACCTACACAGAGTCAGGACCATCACTAGGTGATAGGAATTAAGTTCCACTTTAGTCTTGTGGGACCACTGTCATATATGCAGGCCATGTTGACCGAAGCATCATTATGTGGCACATCACTGTATTTAGGACAGCAGACTCCTAAGCAGCTACACATGATATAAAATAACAGAGGTAATACTCAGGGCTAGTATTGAAACATAGGAGGATACTCCCTAACTCAGTTCGGGGGAGTTCGAGGTAGCTTCCTGGAGGAGCTGATGTCTCAGCTGAGTCCAAGTGAGGAGGGCTTATCCAAGGAAAGAGGGACATCAGAAAGCATCTGTGCTGTCGTAAGCCAAAACAAAATCCCAAAGACCAGAAGAAGCATGAGTTGATGGGGCAATTCAAGGATTCAGTGTTGTCAGAATATAATTATGAGGCAAGAAATAGGGAAAGAGGCTTGAGCCAGGGAAGAAGGCAGATGATGGAGGGGCCATGTAGGTCATCTTAAGAAGTTTGGCCTTGACGATGCGTGCACATTAGGGAACCAGTGAAGGGTGTTAAATAGAGCAGTGATATGATTAGATTTCTGTTTTAAAGCCACCATGCTGACAGCCGTGTTACTTTGAAGGAGAACTTGTATAGGGGAAACAATAGTACTTGAAATGGTACTACTGAAATTCTACTTCAGGTAGACTGTGTCACTTTCCAAATAACTAACAGACTTCTGCTATGCGATCTGTTCCTAAATGAGGGGCTCTTATTGTTGTTTGATAAGGCTGCTTCTATTTCTGGATAAAGCAGTCTTGTCACCCAGCATACTCCAAATAACAGATTGCAAATATGGTAGAAAATATGAGAATGCATCACATCGTTGTAGTCCTCAGCCTTAGAGAGCCAGACCCTCGAGAACCAAAATATAGGGCAGAGGTATCGCAGGGCGTCCACGTACTCCCAGAAGCCACTTAGGGACCGTATAATAGGGACCTCAGTAGCAGAACTTTGTAAGATTCTAACTTTTCCTCATGTTTATCATCTTAAGATATCTTTCCCAGTACTGAATAGCAGTAAAAGCCTGAAATTGAAATTCTGCCTGTATTTTAAAAACAAAATAAATCAGTATTTCAAAATAACTTTTCCATCTCACACGTGTGTTTGTAGAATCTTACATGAAAGAAATGGTGAAAGAGTTAAGTAGTATGTTTTCTACTCTCTCGTTTATGGGTCAAGAGGAAACAACATCCATTACTTAGTAGGAAAATAAAGGGTCTCAAAGGAGAGGGAACTGGACTCTGGAAAAAGGCACTTTAAAGGGAAAAGGGAATTAAAATAAATGTCCTTACACTTCCAAGGTTGCTTGTCAAACTGATGGTGTGTTTTCTTTGGTTAGTTCTCCCAGGACCCGGTTCAGATGGATTCAGGCCAACTACACTGTGGGAGCTGATTCCTGGGCCATTGATAATGTTGTACTGGCCTCAGGGTGCCCTTGGATGTGCTCAGGACGAGGGATTTGTGATGCTGGACGCTGTGTGTAAGTTAATAAAACTGGCAGTCTCTTTCTTTATGATGCAAAAATGAAAATGGCTTATTGAACTCCTGACAAATAATGCCTTGACTCATTCTTTTCCTTAGGTGTGACCGGGGCTTTGGTGGACCCTACTGTGTCCCTGTTGTTCCTCTGCCTGCGATTCTTAAAGACGATTTCAACAGCAACTTACATCCTGACCTTTGGCCTGAAGTGTATGGTGCAGAGAGAGGGAATCTGAATGGTGAAACCATCAAATCTGGAACGTCTCTCATTTTTAAAGGGGTCAGATAAGATTCTGCTTCTCTACATTACTGCTAACATGCCCTTCTTCACTCACTGCTCCACCTAAATGCCTTTCTGAATCTGTTTAGATGACATATTACTTTATACGTAGTTATTGATGTCTAGCCCAAATCATGTTTCCTCTTCTATTCAGTGAAATCACTTTCTATGATCACTTGAACATAAATTTTTTCCTCTTCTTTGGTGACCAGACCTTCCTTATTTTATGCTGGAATTATCTATATAAAAATTTA